TATACATATATATATATATATATATATATATATATATTTGTGTTTAATAAAAAAATAAATAAATAATAATAATAATATAATAAATAATAAAAAATCAATAGATAATAGATGGATAGTTTAATTGAAGTGAAATAATTTTAATTTTTAATATTATAGAAAATTTAATATATCTCATATTATTATAGAATCATATTTTCGTCATTAGTTATCATTAGTTATCATCTAAAATTAATAATTTTATAAAAATAATTAATTTATTATTTTCTTGAATATTAAACTTCGTTTTGGAAAATCAAAAATGTTTATTTTATATTTTTCAATAATATTTGAAATTAAAAATTAAAATAAAAAAATATGAGTTTTAAAATTTAACTCGTTCAAATGTTATATATTTATTAATAAAATACATAATTTATTTTGCATCATATTGATTTAATTTATAACTCATCCAATCAAATCATAATTACAAATAATAAATGAATACACGTGATCATTTAGGAGAAAATAAATTTTATTGTACTATGTTTATAATATATTATTAATTCTTGATTATAATTAAATTTATATATATTTGAGTTTTGCTTAGGTCATATTTAAATTAAAGTTTGGTTTAAATTATAAATTATATTTAATTTATATTTAAGTTTTGATAAGTTAGATTTTAGTTAGGTTAGATTTAAAATAATCTATGAATTATAATATAACATCAAAATAATCTATAATATTAAAATCTTTATATAAATGTAGCTTTTGAATTAATTATATTCTTAAATAATTAAATATAAATAATAATATAAAATATTTTTGAATTTTATTCATTAAATTATTTAAAAGACGAAACTTACATATTTTAGCAATTTCATCATAAATATTTTCTCATTATTTTCTCCCAGTTTACTTTATATATAAATAATTAAATAATATATTTAATAATTATTTTTTATTTTAACTTTTAATTTTTACTATTTTTTATATATATATATATAACATAAGACATAATTTAAATTTAAAATTAATATATCAAACTATATCAAAAAAATACTTATCATTATTGTCTGAGAAAAAATTGAAAGAAAAATATATTTAAGATTTTATAATAATTTTGTATAACTTGAATTTTAACATATATTTTTTTTTATTTTATAATATTTTTATAATAATCATAATCATCGATCGTCACCATCCTTACTATATTGTATTTAAATATTTGTAAATGTAATAAAATGATACAGCATATTTCGTCGCATAAAACTATTAAAATATATTTTAATGGTGCCTTTACAGCATAATGGTATTTTAATTCAAAATAAATTAACATATATGCAAATAGAATTGCAAAAATGCATATTTCCAGTAAATATAATGAAAATCATGTATTTTTTATGAATTTTTTAAACCCACCTTTTTATCAATATATTATTTTTTTTATATTTTATATCTTTCTATTTTTATATCAATTTCTTTTTTTTATCAACCAATATAAAAAAATATCCAGATATAAAATTTTGAACAAATTTAAATCTGCCCATTTTCTTGTGATCAATAATTAAGCAATCAATAATTAATCAATCAATTATATTTTCCTTAAATAAATTAAAAAAATTTAAATATGATATTAAAATATGATAAGGGTACATATAACAAGTTAATTTCATATTTAAATAATAATATATTTTATTAAAAATATTTCATACAAACATTATTTTCAAATATAATAATTTCAATACCTTCAATTCATTCAGTTTGTTAGCTTTCATAGATTTGTATATTTTATATATCATAAATACGATCTGCAAATAAAGTAAATAAGTTGGCATTGCAAGTAAAGTTTGACATCTTTTTATTTTTTAAATTTTAACATAATCATTGATAATTACCAATACATTATATATTATCTTTTTTTATCTTGATAGATAAATTATATTTTTGGCTGGATAATGAATCAATTGAATTTAACGATGTATAACATCTATAAACAAAAACATTAGGAAATTAATTTATTTTTACATTATATACCATATTAAAATAAAGAATTAGCTTACTAGTTTTATCGTATTTATTTATCTTCTTTATAATTGCGTTTAAACTTTGTAGTAATATTCCATATTTTTGTTTTGTATTTGATTGTATCTAATTTGCATTATTGATATATTTTTCCTTGTATTTTTTATCATTCTGATGTATCATATAAATAATATCAATCCATATAAATTCGTTGACAATTTATTCATCTGAACTATTAAAAAAAAAATAAACGTGTTAATACATATTCGTAAGTTAAAAAATTATAAGAACTTTTATACATAAAATAAGAAAATAAAATTTTTAATAACTTAACATTACCGTTATTTTATAGGTGATTTATAAAATCTATAACTAAATTATATCAATTTCTTTATATTATTCATTTTCTTTAATTTACAAATTAAACATATACAGCATAAGAAGTCAAGAATTTCAATATTAAAATTATTAGATTAAAAATATTGTTTCAAATTAATGATTAGCAGAAGCAAGTTTTTAAATTATTGCAATAAAAAATTAATTAATAATTTTATTTCAAGTAGTTAATTTGTCTGACAACAAAATGAAAAAAAAAGAAATAGTATAGTTAGTAAAAGAGATATAATAATATTTCTATAAAATCAAAAATCACTAAAATCTAAATATTTCGAAAATCGAAATTAATAATATATTTTATATAGATAAAAAATTTAACTTAAAGATATTATCTCAATTCAAAGTGTTTATATAAAATAGCTTAAATTTTTAAGATGAAATATATAGTGCATATTATTTATGATTGAATCTTACATTCTACATACAAAAATTTCAATAATATTAAAAACAATAATAAAAAAAATAATAAAAACAATATTTGTAAAAAATAATTTGGATTTAATATATGATATATATATATATATATATATATATATATATATTTCTTT